AACTTCCTGTCCTAGAGTCGGTTTTTGGGGGTGGATACCTCACTAATTTCAGAAATGAAACATATGCTTGATTATTACAATGAATACAGCACTGGTATACATTATTAAATATTTCCTTCGTTTCCTCTGTGTGTATGCTATGGTGGTACATCATCTACAACAGGGCCCTATTAGCAGCAGAAAGTTTTCTGGTTCAGTAGGCAGAACCTCCCGGCAGCAAAGTTGACATGGAGCTGCAGAGATGACCTATATGGGTTTTCCACTGAAGGTAGTAATGTTCTCCCCTTGTAAAATAAGACTCTTTGTGGCAATGCCATGGCACCATAAAATGGATGCTAGTGTGACTGGTAATGTGCGTAGCCATATACAAAGCCATCAGTTTTAAAGAATCACTGCCATTCATTTCTCTATTTGTAAACTCTAGGTTTACATTCCCAGGAACAAAAGAAAACTCAGGCTAAGTTAGAAAACTAAACAATGCTCCGTATCCTTTAATCCATTCTTATTCAGAAAAACCTCATAAGAACAAATAAACACAATAAAATACTATTTATCTTTGCTAAAACAAATCACTTTGTGGTGCCTTGTGTCCATGTTGGCCTATAAAAATATAATCCAGTGGAGAAAACCTCATCTGGAAACACCCAACAATAGGTTCTGGAGGACTGCCAATTAAAATGCACTTACTAACTATCTACGGAAGATTTAGCCACTACAGTTTTCCAAAGGAGGCTTTTTCTAAAGAAGTTTGCAAGCATTTCAAGTGTTAAACTACTACAGAATTTTTTTTCCCCAGAGGGCCTTCAGAAGGATAAGAACAAACTTTATCCTTTTCAGTGAACTTACTCTTTCACAAATGGGGGCCAGACAGAATAATTTTGTCTTCGGAATCCGTTAACAGTTCTTTCTAAGATATTTTCCCTTCTTTTCTCTATCCTTTTGGCCACACAAAGCTCCATTGTTTTTGTACTTATCCTTTGAGGTCTTGACATTTCTTTTTCTCCTTTCAATGTATGAGATCTGAAAACAAGTGGTTTGATCAGTTGCTCAAGGGATCACTCATCTGGAACAGAAAGCACTTACAAGCCTGCACTCTTAGAGGAACATTGACTTTGGAAAACAGTGTTGTGGAAACAACTTTCTGGTCCAAGGTCAGGCCACTTTTCTTACCGAAAAAGAATGCACGCATACATATACAGATATATCTATATCAATCGATTAATTGGTCAATAGATATATAGGAAGATACTTGACTTCTTGCCAGCATGCTGTTAAGCTTTCTCTCTTTCTCATGTATATCGCTTAGTAAGAGTGACTGGTCCAGGGTGCTTCTTGTCTCCCACTTGCACACCCTGCCCTGAATGAAAGGAAGCAAAAAGCTTTGTGGAGAAAAAAAATTTCTGATGAAGACAAGTGTGTTAGTGTGTGTGCATGCACATGTGTATGTGTGGGGGCACTAATTTATTTTGTAATAAATGAGTAGCTCATGTTGGGGTACTTTGGGCAGGATGCACAGGGAAGACACTACGAAGAAGGCTGGCTTCAAGCCTATGAAATTATAACTGACTTTCTAAATCACTGTCAGCTATTAAATTAGTAATCAAATCATTGTCAGAAAAACCGAGGTTGAAACCACTCAGCCTACTTTATACATGTAATCAACAATATTTTCAAACTTGTTTTCCCATATTTTAAACAGGTCTAGTGGCATCAAAACCACTGACCTAATGAAATTAGCTAAGGACCCAAATGAAAGAACAACCTGAAGAACCACAATGATAAATGTAGGCAGTTGTTGTGTCGGTATTAATCTAACCAGCTTTTTCAAGTCTGTGTTTTTAACTTTTTGTTTTGGAATAATTATAGATTCACAGGAAGTTCCAAAAAAAAATCCATAGCATGATCCCATGCACTCTTCACTCAGTTTTCCCCAGTGGAAATTTCAGGAGTCTAGGTCAATATCAAAAACAGGACTGATGTTGGTATAATTCAAAGAGCTTATTCATATTTTATGTTTTAGATGCATCCATTTCCATGTGTGTCTATGTGTATGTGCTCCTATGACATTTTATCAAGTATGTACATTTGTGTAACCACCATTGACATCAAGATAAGGAACTGTTTCATCACCACAAGTCTCCTTCATACTAACACCTTTGTATGATATCCACCACTTAATCTTTGGCAACCACTAATCAGTTCTCCATCTCTGTAATTTCATTTCATGAATATTATATAAATGGAATAATGCAATATGTGACCTTTTGGGATTGGCTTTTTTTCCCTTGTTCTGCATCATTCCTTTGAGATATATCCAAGAGATAGATATTACTACTTCATTCCTTTCAGTTGCTTTACAGTATTCCATAGCATGGATATACCACAGTTTGTTTCCTCGTTCATCTCTTCAAGGGCTTTTGGGTTGTTTCTAGTTTTTGGCTATTATGAATAAAGCTGCTATAAACATTAGTGCAAGGAGTTTGTGTGAACATAGGTTTTTATTTCCCTGTGATATCATGCCCAATAGTGAAATTGCTGGGCCATACAATCATTGCAGGTTTAGTTTTGTAAGAAACTGCCAAACTGTCTCTAGATTGGCTGTACCATTTGGATTACCACCAGCTATGTACATATGAATGATCTAGTTTCTATACATTCTTGTCAGCATTTACTTTTGTCACTGTTTTCCATTTTAGCCATTCTGATAGGTATGTAGTGAGTATAGTAATATTTCATTATGGTTTTAATTTGTGTTTCCCTAGTGGCTAATGATGTTGATGATCTTTTCATGTGTTTATTTACCATCTGTATATGCTCTTTGAGGAAATGTCTGTTCATATCTTTTGTCCATATTCTTAATTGGGTTGTTGTTTGTTTACTCTTGAGTTTTGAGTGTTCTTTATATATTCTAGATAGAAGTCCTTTGTTATATATGGTGTTTGTCAATATTATCTTGAAGTTTGTATCTTGTCTTTTCATCCTTTTAGATATGGTCCTTGGCAGAGCAAAAGTTTTATTTTTAGTGACTGCAATTTATCATTATTTCCTTTGTGGATTTTGCTTTTGATATCTGAAAACCCTGCCCAGCCTTAGGTCACAAAGATTTTCTATAATTTTTTTTCTGAAAGTTTTATAGTTTTACATATAGTTGTGCATGTAAGTTTGTGACCTATTTTAGTTTAATTTTTGTATTAGGTGTTAGGCTTAAGCTGAGGATTTTTGGAGGGTTTTTATCACTGGGGCCTAGATACATTCTAGCCCATGTTCTCCCTGTCTACTCCTCTATATTCCTAGATACTATTTCATGTCCACCTTAAATTTTACTTTTTTTACTCTTTCATTGGGTCTTTTTCAGTTGTTTTACTTTATATTGATGTTTCATCCCTGATTTCTTTCTGCCTTACTGATTGAAAGTAATTACATACATATCTTCTATTATTGACATGAGTCATGCCTATAATAGGATATGATGATAATTTCAATATGTTTGTTTTTCCCAATATATTGTAAGTCTGTAGACAGGGAAGATCATATATTTCTCTTTCTCAAAAACTAGGCCAAGATTTTGCAGATAGTGAGGACTCTATGATAGTTGTAGAATCAAAAGACTTCTGCCAAGTATATATTTGCTCAAGAGGGACATGCTCACCTATATGTTTGTCTGTACTCAGTTGCAATGTTAAAAGATTTTTTCAAAGGCAAAGCTGAGTGGAGGATCCAGTAGCATCCTAACTGGATCACCCCAGACTGCTCACACCTGCTGTCTACAGGTTGGAACCTGTTAATGAGGTTAGGATGGCAGCTTGTACTGCCTGGTGCCAGCAGTGCAGTTTGTTTTAGGATGCTCGGGGAAGGCATACTGCTGATTCTTAAATAATTTTCAATCCATTTGCCTATGATTCAATTTTAGCATATCCGTCAAGACAGAACTTTGAACTTTTATGTGTGTACATACTTTATACGTACACATACACATGCACACACTCACAACATATGTATATTATTGCTGTTTCCTCAGAGTAGCCCCCAAGTTCTACTATCTAGAAATTGTCTTTGCATGTTTTGCCTACTTCTAGATGCTCATTAAGGGTTTCTGGCCATGATATCCCATTTCATTCTAGTTTCCCAAAGACCTTATGCTTAGGTGATAACAGGGAGTGTGGACATTCATGTGTTATTTGTTCACATGTGTTTGAAAGCTCAGAAGCACAGGTCAGTACTTTTCTACAGAAAAATCTTCCTCATGATTTAAAACACTTTTATTCTCCTTATGAAAATTAAAATAACATGCTGGGAAAGGGCAGATCCAGAGGATTAAATAAAGTTTGCAAGTACATGATTCTTTTCAGGATACGAGCCATGCATGGCACAGGGACAGATACATATTTTTGTGTTAAAGTATTTGGACAGGTTTGCCATTGTATGCTTTTGCAGCTTTTAATTCTGAGCTATCGTCATTATTTGTTAGACATTAACACATGCCCATCCCCCACGATACAAATAACCTTTTAAGAGATATTCTATTAATAGTTAAGAGGATTTATAGACTTAAACTGCACCTTCTGCAAAGATACACACAACACTAAGTGGGAAAATTGTCTGTCTTTGGGGAAATAATGTGATCTAGTGGTAGAAATTTATGCTTAGGAATTTCACTTTACGAAACTATGATTTTAAGGAAAACACCCCTTTGCTCCTTAATGTTCTTATGTTCCTTCATTAGTATACTAATTTTTTCTCTAGCAATTTTTGTAGGAAGCAGTCTATAATTTTTCTTTCATTACTATATAGGATATAATCTTTGTATCAGAGAAAAACATTCAATGGGTTAATAGCACTAGTCACAAAAATTTGTCAGTTTTCTGCTTTTTAAAACATTACTTTCTGAAACAAAAAAATCTATAAATAATCATTTGTCTTGGTAAAGGGAAACTGTTTAGATTGAGAAAACTGGACAGATCAGGTAGTCATCATTCAGGTTCTAGTGTTTCTCTTGGGGTTGATTTTAACTGAAAACAATTTTAATGTAACATCAATAAGATAAAGTGAGCAATGGCACTGAAGCTTGCTTATGGTTTTATATTCTTTCTGGATAAACCCTTTCCTTGTCAAGAATCATGGATTGAGGAGATTGTCTTAATTTGATATCACACACAGCTTTGTTGCTCTCTTCTTTTCCTGTAGTTTGGTGAATGCTTGCATTATATCCCTCAGCCCTAGGTAGAGGCAGACATTGCTTCCACAATGGTCTGGGGAAATGTTTCTGGAGTTACTCTTGATTGTCTTGGGGAAGCCTGGGCATGTTTTTACAATAATGGCTCCAAATGAGTCCTGTAGCTTTATTTGAACAACCCCAGCCTAAGGTCCACTCTATTTCTCTTCATTTGGCTGACTGGAGTTCCCCTGGGGACCTCCCTGGAAAGTGACACTAATCCAAGCAAAAGGATTATCTGTTTTGTGGATGGCAGTTTATCCACAGATCTTTAGTGTTCTATTTCAGGTAGGTCCTCCTATTTTGAATATTTAGGTATGTTACTACTGCCCTCTACAGGTAGCAATGTATTCCCAATTAAAATTTAATCCTAAATGAAAACTGAAATGATTCAAATAATATATTGCTTAGTATATAATAATAAAGGAAATAGATTGCTTGGCAGAATTCTGTACTAGCAGTATGTGGTTGGGAATAGTACTTGGCAATCTTGGGCTATGCTATTGAGAGGCAAATGGTCTACCTAATTTATTTAGGTTTCTTTTTCCTTATTTCTTTGCATATTAACAATTTATTTTCATTTTTTAATATCACAAACTTCAATCAGAAAACTTTAAAAAATATTGTGCATGCAATTTACAAATCTGACAAAGGAAGAGTATCCAGTTTACTTGCATTATACTATTTTTAACTTCACAGCCAATTAACACATTTTAAATCATTAAGTACATGTAACAATGAAAACATCAATGCATTAATCTGGTATGCACATGTTCATGTAACACTACTAGTAATTTCCCTGGAGCATTGGCAACATGTAGATGGAGGAATTTCCCTCAAAAGCAAGTTTAAGGGATTAAATATCATCATCATCATCACTAAGAATAAAGCTGCTGCCTATGTAGGGCCCCTCCTTCGTGAATATTCCCCAAACCACCCACAGTCCCTTTCTTGTCAGAATTGTCAAACAGCTTCTCACAGGAATCCTCATCAAACAACTTCTCAGTGGAATTGTCATCTTTGAACATGTTTTCATCTATAGTTTTTTCATCCTTTGCATCTATTTCATCTTCTTTTTCATCTGAATATTCAAACATCTTTTCATCTGCATCATCTTCCTTCTTTACATCAGCATCTTCAAGTCCCTTTTCATTTTCTTCATCCTTTTTTTCATCACACTCATCATCAAAAACTTTTTTACATGCATCTTCCTCTTTCTTTTCATCTGATTCTTTGTCAAACTCTTTGTCAGAGCCTTCATCAAAAAGTTTTTCAGAGCTGTCATCTTCAAATTTTGATTTTTCAGACTCATTTTCTTCTAACTCTTTTTTGAGAACATTTTCATTAAACTCCTTGCCAGACCCACTCCCATAAAACTCTTTTTTGAGGCCATTTTCTTCAAATTCTTTTTCTGAGCCATCTTCAAACAGCTTTTCAGAGCAGTCTCCTTCAGATTCTCTTTCCAATCCATCTTCTTCAGGCTCCTTTTGGGGGCCATTCTCTTCTTCACTCTCCGTGGTGGGGTCATTTTCTTCAGACCCCTTTTCAAGGGCATTCTCTTCAAAATCATTTTTGAGTTGCTTCTTTTTGGATTCTCTTCCAGGACTATTCACTTTAGACTCTTTTTTAGGTTTCCCTTCTTCAAACTCTTTTTTGGGACTGTCTTGTCCATACTCCCTTTCAAGGTAGTCTTCACACTCTCTTTTGGGGTGGTTTTCTTCAGACTTTCTTTCAAGATAGGCTTCTTTAGATTCTTTCTGGGGACAGCCTTCTTCAGCCTCTTTTTTGGGGCCACTTTCTTTGGTATCTTCTTCAATTTCTCCCTCATCTTCTGGTTTCTCAAACTTCTTTTCATCTATAGGTTCTTCGAATTCCATTTCAGTTGCAGCTTCTTGAGCATTCCTTCTAGATGTGCTAGGGTGCTCTGAAAAATGCCTTACTCTAGAAAGCCCTTCCCTTTCTGAAATACAACTGGAATTTGAACACCAAAGACCTTTATTGGCCTCAGGAGCATTGAGGAATGCCTCCCATCCTTTCAGCCTTTCCTCCCTTTCTCTTGTGGACTCCTCCACCCGATAATCTGTAGTTCCATCCCATGCTTGGGCAGTGATTTGACGGCCACCAAACCACCGTCCATTGAGGGTTTGAATACAATAATCAGCTTCCTCTGGATTCCTGAAGGACACAGAGGCCACACCATCTGGGTGTCTGTCAAAGAGAAGGAGCTTCCTAATTTGTCCAAACTTTGAACACTCTACTTGAAGATCTTCTCTGATCTCATTCAGCACCAATGGGTCATTCTCAAAATCCATAGGATGAAACATATTTTTGATGATAACAACTTGCTCGTGGCGCTTTCGGGATGGTCCATCCCTTCTCTCAGGTCTCCAATCCAACTGCTTTTGTTGCAAAAGCAACTTTTTCTTGTAGTCCTTGGACTTCTTCTTCTTCTTCGAGGCATCATATTCTCCCTTCAGTTGAAATTTTGCTACCTCGACATGTAATTTATAACCTCTAATTTCACCTTCATCCAGAAGTTTCAGTGCAAGATCCACAGATTCTCTTTTCAAATAGCAGCAAAGCCCATCTCCTTTAAGATTTCCTTGATCATCTTTGTAAAGCTTGACCTTAAATTCTTCTGTTTGAGAATCTCTCATAATAATACCAAACTTGGACATGAGCTGTATAAATTCATCTACTGTAATGTCTGGAGGCAAACCAGACACATATACATTTGTATTTCTGTCTTCTTCAACATGAAACCATCCTGATTCAGCCTTTCTCTTTTCTCCCCTCTTTTTGGGATCAGTGAGTTCAGGGATTTTTCTTTGTGGAGGTTTGTCTGCAGGCCTAACACTAACATCTTGTATATTCAAAGTAGAGCTAGATGCACTGTCATTAGAATAGCCATAGTTGGCTTGATATAGAGCAATGAAATCTTCAGTGATCTTGGGGAACCAAGCCTTCTTCTCCAGGTCCCACTCATAGGGGGTGTCATCTGGTTGCGGCCCAAAAGCATTGGTTTCTCTACTGGGATCTTTCTGGGTATTTCCATCTTTGGTGTCCCTGTACAATTCTTGCATTTGCAACTGCTCATCAAAGTCATCATTTCCATAGAAGTTGTTGCTGCTCATGCTGCCAACTTAGCCCAGGGGCATAGTCCATGTGAGCTTACAGGCTGAGATGAAGCTAGAGAGGAACAGAGAAAATCTATTTAGGTTTCTTAAAATAATCATTTCGGTACCAGTCAGCTTTGTGGCTAGAAATGTATGCTAAACTCATACCCAAACTTAAGGCCGAGGATTATCATGCTTTATATTTATGTCATGTCGAATTAATTAAAGTGGTTTTCTTACCAGCAGATCTGAACCATGAGAAATGTTAAGTGAAATCATTCAGGCAGAAGGAAAATGATAACCAAATCCCCAAATCTGGCTATACACAAAGGAATAAACAACACTGGCAATGATAACTATGAGAATAAATTAATTAATTCTCATTAAAAGACTTTAAGCAAAAATGATAACACTGCTTTCTGGGTTTTATAAAATGTTATGAAGAAAGTAATAAAGATCAGAGTGAAAATTGATGAAATAAAAAACAGAAATCAAATGGAGAAAAAAATCAATGAAACTGAAAGCTGGTTCCTTGAGATCAAGAAAATTGCTAAATCTGTAGCCAAATGGATCAGAAAAAGAAAGAGAGAACACACTACTAATTACCAATACAGTCATGTACCACATAATGAAGGGGATATGGTCTGAGAAATGCGCCTTAGGTGATTTTGTTGTGCGAACATTGCAAAGTTTAATTATACAGTCCTAGATGGAATAGCGGTACTTTTATATGACTGGCAGCACACCAACATCACCACAAACACCTGAGTGATGTGTTGTGCTATGATGTTATGATGGCTATGACATCACTAGGTGGTGGGGATTTTTCAGTTCCATTATAATCTTATGGGATAACTGTGGTATTTGCATTCCATTGTTCACAGAAATGTCATTAAGCAGCACATGACTACATCAGGAATGAGAAAAGTAACCTCAGTACTAATTCTATAGATATCACATGAATAATAGAGATTATTAGGAACATTATCATAATAAATTAGACAATTTAGCTGAAATGGATAAATTCCTTGGAAGTAAACTATAAACGTTCACTTAAAAATAGCCTAAATAGCCTTATATCTATTAAAGACATTGAAATTTAGTAAAAAAAAAAAAAAAAAAAACAATAAAAAAACTTCCCATGAAGGAAACTTCATGCCCAGATGACCTTACTTATGAATTTTGTCTTCAATTTTTACAGTCAAAAAGTAATACATGCTGAATTAAATGCATCCAATTATACAGAAGTGTTTAAAGAATCAAAATTTAGCATATCACAACTCACTCTTCTGTTATCATTGTTGAAAAGCTCTTTGATGTGTGTCATAGAATTTTGTTCTGTACACACACATATAAACTTCCATTTAAACAAAAGAATTATTATGTCCATGTTACCTGAGCTTGCTTCAGAACTCAAAGCTCTATATAATTTTTTTAAACAGTTGCATAATACCTCAATGCCTGATATTGCATTATTTTCTCCATTCCTCTGTTAATGGACTAAATTTGTGTTGTGCTATGGACTGGATGTTTATGTTCCCTCAAAATCCATATGAAGAAGCTGCAATGCCCACTGTAACTACATTTGGAGATAACACTTTTATAGAAGTAATTAAGGTTAAGTCAGAGTGGTATAGTCCTGATCCAATAGCATTAGCGTCCTTATAAGAAGAAACAGGAGAGAGTTCTCCTGTGAGCTTGCTTTCTTTCCCCATGTGACATAGGGAGAGGATGGCCACCAGCAAGCCAGGAAGAGAGAGCCCTTACCATGAACTGAAATGGCCAGCACTTCCAGCCTCCAAAGCTACAAGAAATAAATTTCTATTTTTTACCACCTTGTCTATGGTATTTTGTTATGGCAGCCTGGGCTTACAAATATAGATTGCTTTTTATTTTTGTTTTGCTATTATAAAAATATTGTATTGAAAACCCTTGTACATTTATTTTTGCAGCAGAGATTCCTGAAAGTCTGATTACTTGGTTATGGAGTGTGCACATTTAACATTTGGGTAGATACTTATGTTTTCAGCAGTACCTAACTTTCTGTTTGGATGCTTCTTAAGGATATCATTCTGTAGTAGCGAGGCCATGTTCCCCCCATAGCCTGTAATCTGCCTTCCTATTTGGAATGACAAGTTAATCAGGTAAGGACAGTCATCCACCCACTTTCTCCACAGGAGCAGTACTAACATTTCTGGCTGAAAAATGTCTGTGTGTGATACTGTGGTAGTGTCCCTACCCAACATTTATAGCTCTTAGTCCCTGGGCACGAAAAGTGCCAGCAGCACTATATCCCTAATCCCACACAGTTTCAAAGACCCTCGAGGGAGTACCTTCCCTACTCCTGGGATCTCCAAAACATATATCAAGTTTAAAATATTAGAATTAAAGGGAAGAGTTTTGTGACCCCATTGACTTGTTATCAATGAGTTATTTTAAACAGCTATTATTAAGGTTAGTATTTGCAACTTTTTTAAATTCTAATGCCAACTACTTTTTGGTAAGAAAGTCCATCATTAATTTAGACTGGAGTTTCACTTATAAATGCACTCAACTCATAGCATCATTTTAAAAAATGCAAATAAGCAGAACAATATAAGGAATACCTATGTATCTATTACTCAGATTTCAAAAAGTCAGTATTTTGCAATATTTGGTAGAGTTCTTTCAAAATTTTACTTCACAGCTATAACATAGGTATCAGGTAGGGCCCCTTTATATCTTTACTCAACCACTTACATTAAATTAATGGTTATATTTCCCTATATATTTGTGGTAGGCAGAATGTCTGTCCTAACCTGTGGAACCTGTAAAAGTGTTAACCTGTATGGCAAAAGAGAACTAAGGTTGCAGATGTAAAAAACCTTGAGATGGGAAGAGTTGTTAGGATTACTTAGGTGGGCCCGATCAAATCATATGAGCCCATAAAATCAGAGAACCCTTACCAGCTGTGCTCACAGAAAGATACCATGTTGCTAACTTTGAAGATGGAGGCAGTGGGTCATAAGTCAAGGAATGCAGGCAGCCTCTAAAAACTGGAGAATGCAAGGACATAGGTTGTCCTCCAGAGCTTCTAAAAGGAACTCAGCCCTTCCAAACAGGCCAGTGAAGACCCATGTCAGATAATTTGCACCGGTTTAAGCCAGCAAATTTGTAGTAATTTGTTACAACAGCAATATAAACATAATGCAATATTATGTTATTATAGGTATTAATAATCACTGCATAATATTGGTTTTGACTGGTTTAAACGTTGGCCTAAATCGAACATTTGTAGTAGACATGAATTGGTTATACTTATACATCTCTTTCAGTGCTTATCAACGAAAATATGCTGTTGTATACACCTAACCTCTAGATACAGTGTAGTATTTATTACTGATCTTAAAGAGAGTACCTGATTGTCAGATTAAAAAACTGGGTGCCCTATTAAATTTGAATTTTGGCTAAAAACAGTTATTTTTTCCGATATAATTGCAAATACTGTACAGAACATACATTGTTTGCTAAACCTGCAACCGGAGGGCAAGATAACTTTTATGACCCACGTCATAAAAGGGATAAGAACGCTTGCTTCGCTGAGCTGTTAAATCCAAGTGAAAGTCAGCCTGTTTAAAAGCAATGAATTCAACTTTTCAAAAGAATGCCGGTTAAAACAAACGAGTTTGGCCTGGCTCTGTCTCCAGCGGGTACTTCGAACTGCGGCGGCCCGTTGGATTTCGGGGCTCCCCCGTGCCAGTCGCGCTTTACCCTGCCTCCGGACAGGCCAGTCCAGGCTTGTGCTCCGGGAGTTTGGGTGAGGGTGCTCGAAGTCGCCAGGCCCCAGGACTGCAGCCCCGGGATCGGAGTAACTCCCTCTTAAGACACCGCCCCTCGGCAGGCTGTTTTGGGCTTTCCCGGCTTCCGCCTTCCGGGTGGTCACATGCCTCTGGTCACGTGACCGGAGCTCCTGTCATTCTACTGCGGCTACTTCGGCTTTCATCTGCTAGTGCCGCCCTCAACGTCTCCTTGGTGGTAGAACCTCTTCACTTTTCGGCGTCCGAGTGTCCTGTCGCCGCTCAGGCCTCCGGACCGGGCGGAAGAGGTTCTGACTCGGCCCCCAAGCTCTGCTGTGGCTCCAACGTCCCGGACCGCCCCATCCTCTCTGCGGCTTTTGGGTGCGTTGGGGTCTCCAGAGTTCGCGAAATAAGGCCGCGCTTCCTCAGGTTGTTTCGTCTGGGGCACCTGCCCTGGTGAGGCGACCCCTGCGGTTTATTCACCCTCCCTGACGCGTGCTGGTTTCCTGCCACTCCGGCCCTTCCACCTCTCCTCCGGTTCCGGGTTCCAATTTCTTTCCTTTGAGGCCTTCCCTGGGTTTATGAAACGCAGAGCCTTCCCGGCAGGGGCAGGGAACGTGAGGGGCGGGCTGGGAGAGGAGGAGGACGGCAAAAAAAGGTATGCTTTCCTCAGGATCGGGTCACGGCCCTGGCCTGCTGGAGCTTTGCCTTGTGCAGGGACTTAGCTGACCGCCCTGAGACACCTTCAGCTTCCCCCGGAGGGGCCGCTGGACTCCAGTCCTCTTGGTTCCAGGGTTGCAGCTCGGGCCGGAATGAGCCAGCTTCTGCTTGGACCCTGCCAGTGCACCTCACTCTTGCTTGTTTAGGCAGCAGTCCTCAGATGTAGAGATTAAGTTCCAAGCTGACTGAGGTCTTTGGGATCCCGGAATAGAAGAATTTTAGGTTCTTTGTGGCTATGTAACCATGAACTTATACTTTATGAAAAGGAACCTCACTATGTTTAGTGTCATGATAAAATCAGGCTTAAACTTTTATCTATTTAGGTGTGATAATTACTTAAAAGCTCATAATTGTAGGTTCTTGTCAAACTATAATTCCATTGTTGGCTGTACCTAAATTGTAATTGGTATTTGCTCCAAAAATTTTTTATAAAATTGATTTTGACAATACTATGGACTTTGGTTGAAAAACTGTATCTTTTAAGAAATTACATTCCCACTTTGGTTATTTTAATTCGAATGAGTAATTTTAGAAAGGACTCCGGTTTTTCATATATCACTTCAAAATGATGCTTAGTAAATGTAATAAAATAATTGATCCCATTGGTACTATAAAGGTTTTTATTTTTTCAGAAGAGAAATGTAGATCCCAATTGTATATAGTTAAAATATTTTCAATATTTTCCTATTTTTATATGCCTGTTCATTTAAGCATGATTTCTGATGTCAGTTTCTTAAATGATCACTTTAAAAATCTTACTGCAATATTGTGCCAATGATTAAGAAAAAACTTTCTGGAAAATATCTGTAGAGAACACTTTTATGGAGCAGTGTGTAATTGGGCAAGATTTGAAATATAACGATATTAATATTTAGGATATTTAATATTTATGTGGAATGCATGGAGAGATTGAAGTGATAATGATATTATTCTTTATAATTGTAGTAGTTATGAAAAATAATAACACCTGGTATTCTGGTTTTACCTTACATCAATATTGAAGATCTGTTGGAAAACATTCAAGATTATAAAATTTAGATGACCAAAATGGATATCCGGGGTGCTGTGGATGCTGCTGTTCCAACCAACATTATTGCTGCCAAGGCTGCAGAAGTTCGTGCTAACAAAGTGAACTGGCAGTCCTATCTTCAGTAAGTACTGAAATGCTGTGAATCATGGGTAATCATGTGCTTCTGGATCAGACTTTCTCATGGTCATACTTCTATGAGAGAAATACTGGAAAAATTCTACTAAATGTTGAAGAAAACACTTCCTTCGAATAATTAGCTGTCACAGGGAGGTAGTGTGGTGGAAACAGCTTGTGGCTCTGGTGAGGAGGCGGAGCTGCTCACAGTTGTGCGCTTCTAGTGAGTAAGAAACCATGGGATTGAGTGTTAATGGACTATGGACGGAGGAAGATAAATGTGCAAAGCCTGCCCCCAGCTCAGTATGCCTTTGTGATCAGTGTGGGGACAGATAGTGTTGCAGTAGAGCTCAAACAATTAGAAAAAAGCATACACATTTGAGTTCAATACCTGGATTTGCATTCTGGTTGTGTCTACTGGTTTGGTGATCTTAGGCAAATCTCTTCTCTGAGGTTCATTAAAGTAAATATGAACTGGGTATACATATATGACAGGGTTTATTTTACCTCCCTGAAGTAATGTATTTAAAGTATTAGCACAGTTGAATACAAGCATAAGTATGCTGAATATATTCTTAATAAATTTCAGTTTTTTCCCTTTCCTTCTTGTGTACATTGAGCTTTAGCATGCTGGTGTTCTGTATTTATCTGTAATGTGCTCATTTATTCTTGACCATATTTTATCATATTGACTTTATTTCATATCTGTTAATTTTGATATAAATGTCAGTTATTCAGAAAATTCAGTTCAGATTTGCATATAAATTTTGAAAAAATTGAGGAATCTTTAGTTTTATATTTAATAGTTTGCTTTGGTGTAAGAAGGATATACAGTGTACACAATATGAACCATTTATTTCTGTTAATGTCACTTATCAAATGTTTATTGACTGCCTGCCAAGTTTGAGGCATTTTCCCAGGCTTTGGGACTACAAAAAGATAAATTCATAATTTAGTAGGGAAGCCAGATGTATAATCAGATCATTTTAATTCAGCATGTTAACTGTGATAATAGAAAAGTGCGCAGGGAATGATGAGTGCACAAAAAAACCCACCAGCTAATCCTACCTCTAGGAAGTTTTCCTAAAGGGGATGTTCAAAGGTAGGGAATTAAAAATAGCATTCTAAGTGGGGAATAATACATGTTTTGGAGGCAGGCAATGGAGCAATGAGGCTGGAAAGGCAGCCAGGAGCCACTTGTGAGGGTCCTGTGTGCCATTGTAAGGAGTTTGGACTTGATTCTATCAGTCAGTGCTTTTCAAGGTGAGTCCTAAGCTATGAAACCCAAGGTTGACAAGAGGTCCAATAAAGAAGCTCTGTCTGTAAAACACATGAAAATGATGGTTGAAGGGAGGTGGGATTATACATCTCAGAGCCTTTTGAGATCACTCACCATCCTCATTAGAGTTCCAAGGAGTAGGGTGTTTTTGAAATCACTTTATTGAGTTGTGATTGATAAACACAAACATGTACATATTTAAGATATAACAACTTGATGAGTTTGGAGGTAAGTATATAGTCATGAAACCATCACCACAATCTATGCCTTAAGCATATCGATCATCTCCAACAGTTTCCTCCCACCTTCTTTATTTTACTTTACTTTGTGATAAGAACACAACATAAGATCTACCCTGTTAGCAAATTTTTAAGCATACAATACAATATTGTTAACTATAGACACTGTGACATTCAGTAGCTCTGTAGGGCTTATCCTATATAAGCGAAACTTTGTATCCTTTGATTAATACCTCCCCATTTCTCCCTCCTGCCAGCCCCCAGCAACCACTGTTCCACTATTTTAGACTACTCTTATAAATAGGATCCTGTAGTGTTGTTCTCTGTCTGGCTTATTTTACTTAGCATAATGTCCTCCAGTTTCGTTCATGTTGTAGCAGATGACAGGATTTCACTCTTTTTTTTTTTTTTAAAGACAATAATATTCCACTGTATGTTAATGCCACATATTCTTTACCCTTTTATCCATCCATGGACACTTAGGCTGTTTTCATATGTTGGCCATTGTGGAGAAGGCTGTCAATGTACATAAAATGCAGGTATCTCTTTGAAGTACTGATTTTCATTCCTTTGGATATATGCCCAAAAGTAAGGTTCCTGGATCACATGGTAATTTTATTTTTAATTTTTTTTAGGAACCTCCATACTATTTTCCATAGTGACTGCATCAATTTATATTCCCATCAGCAGTACACAAGTGTTCCCTTTTCTCTACAACTTTGAAAACACTTGCTCTCTTCTCTTTTTTGATAATAACTGTCCTAACAGGTATGAGGTGATGTCTCATTGTAGTTTTGACTGGCATTTCTCTGATAATTAGTGAGGTTGAGCCTATTTTCATGTACCTGTTCACCAGCTTGTTACTTTTTTTTTGTCATTGAGTTGCATGTGTTCTTTATATAGTTTCGATATTACCCCTTATCAGATACATGGTTTGCAAATATTTTCTCCCATTCCATACAATGCCTTTTCATTTTGTTTATTTCTTCTTTTGCTGTGCAGAGCTTTTTAGTTTTATGTAGTTCTGCATGTTTATTATTGCTTTGTTGCCTGTGCTTTTGGTGTCATACCTAAGAAATCATTGCCCAGGTGAATGACGAGAAGCTTTTTCCCTGTGTTTTCTTCTAGGAATTTTACTGTTTCAGGTTTTATATTTTTCTTTAATTTATTTAAGTTGATTTTTGTGTATGGTATAAGGGTCCCATTTTATTCTTTTGCATGTGGCTGTCCAATTTTCCCAAACCTGTATATTGAAGATACTATCTTTTACCCATTGTGTGTTCTTGGCACTCTGTTCGAAGATCAATTGACCATATATGTAGGTGTTTGTTTCTGGGCCCAAGATGCGCAGTTTTAAAATTATTGTCGTAGTTATTAGAAACAACTGAAGTTTGTAAAGCGGGAGTTAGATGACCAGATTTATCTTTTGGTTGGATTTTTCTTCCAACAATGTATAGGATAAATGGATAGCAAGCCTAGATCTAGGGGAAGGCAATGGCAGTATTCAAGTTGTTGGAATGGATAGACTTGGATAGAATTGAGAATATCTTAGTGATTGATTTGATGTGTGAGGGTGAAAAAAAAATCTAGGATGACTTCTGCATTCCCCAAAGGGAATGGATTATTGTGGGCCCACCGACTCCAGGGCAGTAGAAAGAGGGACTTTCTGGTGTTTTTCTTGTTCATCTATATCTGTGTAATTGTTTAAATCCCCTGTAAAATTAGGATTGTGAGCTGTGTGTCCTAATGTTAGTGCAGAGTGAATTTAGACTAGAGTACAAAGAATTTCATGTTCATAAAATCTGATTCTGTTTATAACCTAAATAGAACAATGTTATTGTTGATGATAAACCACTGGCTGACTGGAAGCAGTTGCTTAGCATTGGAGCTTGGAACATTTTTAGTTATGTGGAGATTTTTAATTGCTTTGCCTTCTGTTCCTACTGTTCCAAGGCCTCTATACAAGTTGTATTCTCCCTTTTTCCTATTTCTGCCCTTTATTCAGTTGTCCATGTCATGAATTTCTTTTATAAAACTCCTCTGTTTTTATGCCTGTGCTGAAGCGTTAACTCTGTGCCTGCTGTTAAGCTGTTGGTTGTGGGTACACTAGTGGGTATGAAATGTGTCTCCCCTAAAAGAGCTTACAGATTGTTAGGGGCTGGACATGACACATGAATTATCCATGAATCTTATATCCTAGTATATTCTGATAAAATAAAACCTGTGGAAGAGTTTCCCAATTTCAAAAGGCAAATGATGTTTTATCCCTCACAAATTGTGTTATTATGAAAATGCAGTCTTTTAAAAATGTATTTATGTTTGATTGAACTTTTTCTTTCTAATTGACCTAGACATACATAAGTGAATGGGTGTGGCTATATTTCAGTCCAACTGGAATTTAGTAAAACTATATCCTGAGGACATGAGAATCATAAAATATTATACTTTCTCTTGAGTTTAAAGTTTAATAAAGAAACAACTTTTAACTGAAAAATTAATACTTGTGGAAAGCCTTAAAATGAAGATATATTTAAAGTTTTCTCAGACAACAAAAGGAGTGAGCAGATAATTACCTGGGAGCATTGGTGATGTCTTTACAGAACACATAAAGATAATTGTAGGAGTTGTCTTAAGTGGAGGAGCTGGGGGCTGCTGTGAAGGAAACTCCAGGCAGGATGCTGAGACTTGGAAGAACATGCAGTGCTACAGGGAGAGCTTTAGATAGTGTCCTGTGGCTCCCTGCAGGCTGTTGCAGACCAGTTTGCAGCACCTTCATTCACCATTTCGTAGGCTGAAAAACTAGGAGTCATCTTCACTCTTATCGTTCCCTCATACTCCATATCCTATACATTAACAAATTCATTTAGTCGTACATCTGATACAGGTCCCAGATCTGACTACTTTTCCCCAGTTTCATGGCTATTATCCTAGTGCAGGCTGTCGTCTCATCTCATGTGCTCTCTTGTTAGAATTAGAGCCTCTCACCTGGCAGGTCTTCTTTAACTATTCCCCCATAACAGCAATTCTTTACATAGCTGTGAGATGAGAGTCATTTTAAAAAATATTAATCAAAGAGATTATGCCACATTGCTCATAGCCCTCTAGCTGCTCTGATGTTCTTGCTCTTTTTCACAGCAACCTTATTGCTGCCCCAAGGTCTTTGGACTTGTATTTCTGTCTTTCCCCAGATCACTTGGCTCACTAAGTCACTTCATTCAGGTGTCTGTGCAGGTGACTTCAGAAAGGCCGTCTCTGAAATTCAGCTAAAATATGTCACTTTCTAGCTCCTTACCTGGCCTAAGATTTTTCTTTTTCCATAGCATTTACAATCCTGGCATTATCATGGTGTGTATGTGTGTGTGTATTTTTTAAAAAATATTTATTTTTGTCTTTGTATATTTTCTGTTTTCCCCACTGGAATGCAAGCTCACAGAGAGATGTCTAACTCATAACTATGTTGCCTGTTCTTGAAGGTATCTGACACATAGTAGGCTCTCAATTAATATTGACTGATTAAATCATGAATGAGCAGAGTACTTGTTGGAAAGTGGTGGAGATGAGTGTTTGTAAAAGGAAGTAATGTATTTGGTAAGTAACATACTGTTTCACGTGATTTTCATAGTAATACTGTGACATAAATTTTTCTGTCCTTTAAAGATGGGGAGAAAGCTTTTCAGGTAGGATAAGTAATGTGTACATGCTCATATGGGTTTTACTTAGTCAAATGATTAAGGTAATTTTTATTGAATTTCTCTGCCTAAGTGCTAGGTTGAGCTGCCATTCAAATTAACAGTCTGACTGCTACGAAAGGAGTAATATGATCAAACGTATGTTTGAGAAACCTGGCTGGTAGTAAGTAAGAGAGGTGTGGAGGAAGGTTGGATTAGAAGCAGGGAAATGCATTGGTGGACTGCTACTTTAGAGGCTGGGAAGTCAAGAGGAAAATTATATTAGGTAGAAGAATTGTTAGGACTGGTCCCTCATTGGGCATGGGTTGCTAGAGAAGAGACCAGAGTCCCTAACCTACATTTAAGAGAAAAGATTTAAAACAAGGAAAAAAAAAGGTTTCTTGCAACAAATGCAGTGAAGACTGACTTCAGAAGGAATGTCTTGCCAAATAAAAACAATTATTTAAATGGAAAAGAAAGCTGAAAAATTATAAGAGCACCAAGTATAATATACACTTTCTTAATGGTAGAAGAACTGCTTCTTTTTCACATACTTATCCTATTTACAAAGGTTTTGATGTGCTTTTACACATTAGCACAGCAAAATTTGGGGGTGATATCATTTTAGCTAGGGAGTTTAGGTTTATGCAGACATTTCATTCATTTTGGGGCCAGAACCAGACAGGATGGCCCCATTATCTTTGTTTGTTCCAGGGTACAGAATGTATTTTGTCTTTAGTGGTATATGTATGACATGCTTAGCCACAATGGCAACAAAACAAAGTATGTATTTTTTGCTTCCATTTTCCCATTAGCCAGGCCAGGGAAGGAGTGGGGGTGGGGACATATGTATGTTAGTCATCTCTGTTCAGCCACTGTAGGGTCTGGAATGCCTCTCTTACCTATGGGAGGGGAGGTTCAGTACACACACGTGAACGAGGACTGCAGGAGGTTGACCTGGAGCTCAGGCTGTGAGTTAGCAGTGCAGAGAGTAGAGGGGAAGGGAGCGCTTGAGGAGAACCCATGGGGTGAGAAGTGAAGACAGCTTCCCATAGAGCCCACACACACAGAAGAGATGAGTAGGTAAAGTGGACTGAAGAGTAATTACCTGAGGAGGATGAGAAAAATCCAGAAGTTAAGCAAGAGAGTGTCAGGTGTGGCTGCATCGTCACCTGCCTCAGGGATCTAGAAAGACAAGGACTGAAAATTCTCCTTTGGGTTGGTAGGGAAGGGATCGTTGAAGCAATACATGAGAATAGTTTTTTAAAAAGTCATGTTAAATAAAGGAACACATATGAAAACAAAGTTGTGCTTAAAACTGGAACTGATAAAGTCCAGAAACAAGAGTATAGAAAATAATTTGTTATGTAGTAATAGTGTTTACAAAACTCAGGAAAGATAAAGTAAAATACTGAGACTTTGAACACAAAAATGTCAAGATCTTCTTTGGAGGGAGGGAGGTGTGTGGTTGTGGGTAGGGGTAGCAGGTAGTGTGAAAATTCAGCTCCCTTATTTTGTGAAGGGGACAGCTCACCTTCTCAAATTCTCCCGTGCACTTAGGGAAACTTGTCTTCTTCAGGATTTTGCCTGAACTCTGACTGTGCCCTTTGCTTCAGTGTGCCATGTCCCATACTTCATCCCTGGTCCTCCTGGGAGCGCTTTCTTCCTAGATAACCTGCACACTAATCCACATCGCAAGGCCTGCTGCCACTAGGAACCTAACCTGAGACAGCTCTGAAAAAGGACCACACTTCTATAATTATGCATTTTGGGAAACCTGCTTCAAATTCAGTGTTCCCTGATTGGGTTTTGTTCAACACTAGTCCCTCAACATACTCTGGGGGCAGCTCTTTAAACTAGTGAGTTAAAAAAAATATATATTGATGCTGTTTGAATGACAAAGCACATTACAGAAACTTTTAAAATACTAAGTGTGATTTTATTTCATGGTTATACACACCAAGTGCTTTTGTTTGTGTGTTCTCATAATCACTCTTTGGGGTAGGTCAGGTAGTATTGTAATTGCCTTTTTACTGGTGTGGAAAATAATAGAGGGATAGTGACCTGCCAAAATTTCACAACTTGATTTGGAACACTTCCCCAGATTGACTCAAATTCTGTACTTTCTTACCATACTGATGATCTGAAAGAATTGACATATATCCTGAACATGCATCCTCAGTGTGCAGTCTCACTGAGACTAGCAAGGCTGTTCTACTGACATGTATTTTCACATGAAAGCATCACACAGTGGGTTTGCTGTGACAAATTTTAGTCCTTGATGTGTGGAGCATTTGGGAGGTCAGGCTGGATTGGATTGGAAGGTGTCGGGTTCAGTTGTGATGATGTTGCATTTGTGACAATGGTAGAGATAGAAATGGAGATGGTGTGGGAGAGAGAGAAGATAGGACTCTGTTGATTTGAATCTCACTGAGGAAAAGAGTTTGGGAAAGAAAAGTCAGATTCCAAAGACTGAGCTCTATAGAGGAATCTTGAAGAGTGAAGAGCCATTGAAGAAGGGACCACTGGAAGTAGGAGGGAACAGAATAGTATGGGGTGATTGCTGGGAGGACAGGGGATCAGGATGGAGAAGTAATTTTTTTTTTTTTTCTCCTGAGAGGAGGAGGATCACCTTTTCCTGAGTTTGGTGGAAGAGTATACTGGAGAAAATGATTGTAGAAGTTCATGTGAAGTGACTTTAGTTTTGATAAAAGGCCAAATTTTAGCTTGGAAGGGGATTAAGGTGGGCTTTGGATAGTGGTAACAGGCGCCATGCTGTTGCATGCTTACTATGGGCGAGGCACTGTCCTAACCACCTCATGTGAATTGTATAATTTCATCCTCAGTTCAACCCCTTAAAAACAATGCGGTTATTGTTGCTGTTTTACAGACGAATTAACTCAGATCCAGAGAGGACACGTAATGAGTAAGTGGTGGATCTGGGCATTGAACTCGCATCTGTTTAATGGCAGAGCCCATGAATCAACCCTCATGGTTTACTACTACTAAGGAGAGAGGAGAAAGACCGAAATTTCTGTATCACTTGCTCACAGGGGCTATTCAGCTCTTATTGAAGAAAAACAATTTATTCTTAATTTCTAGGGGACAGATGATTTCTGCTGAAGATTGTGAATTCATTCAAAGGTTTGAAATGAAAAGAAGTCCTGAGGAGAAGCAAGAGATGCTTCAAACTGAAGGCAGTCAGGTGATTGATGTAAACATTGTATCATGAACACTTCCCCATATCATTAAAAATTCTAGAAATGTTTCTAATTACCATATGATATTCCATTGTAGGTGTGCATCAAAATTTAACTACAAATCCTTTTTTATTGAAAAAGTTTTTGAGTGATTTTCCGTTTTCTTTGTTAATTTTGGAAAAAATGTTATTTTGAGTATGTTTACTCTTTTATCCTTTTTTTCCTGCATTTCTGAAAATCTTAGAGTTGTAGAAAGGAAATGACTATTTCAAAATATATGTCAATACTTTAAAAGTTGCTGAACATTTTTTTGTAGAAAAAATTTTTATTTTGTATTCTTATTAGAATACTAAGCAGTTATGCTCTCCATCACAGATTTTCTGATATGGGACCCTGATTGGCTGAAGAAGCTCATATACAATTTAGTCTGATTCTCACAACAATTTATCATTTGAGGTCTTGGGAAATTTGGGAAGAAATGTATTGTTGGTGTCAGTTTTTGCTGAATTCCAGAGAGATTGTTACATAGTTGATAACTTGAATGGAGGCAGGTCAAGGCCTTCTGATTTCAATTCCCAGTGCCCTTGTCTGCTTCCTAGTAAACACCCCCTCCTCCCAAATCAAGACCAAGTAATAATATTTGATTGTCTACATAACTTAATCTTTATGTTATCATGGATAATTAAGAGTTAATAGTGGCTAGGCCTGTCTACTTAAAAATAGTAAACATTTTGAAATTTGTCACTAAAAATGAGCAAAAATCTGATGTTAAATCATAGTAGGGTCCTCCTATACTTCATCACAATATTTGTAAAAGCTACACATTTTTTTGTAATGAAATCTGTTAGTGAATAGTATTTGTATCCTAATTTAGGCAAGCAAAATACAAAGGTGGGCAAAACTAGCTTTACAGTTGTAAGTACATGAAACACAATTTATTCTTATATTATTATTTGTTAATTATTGTGTTATTTACCAAATGAACAACTGTAAACCTACTTTTGTCCATCCCTGTATTATACTGAAATTCTATTAATACGTCGTGTTTGTTGAAAACAATAATTAACATTGATTTCATTTTTTTCTAGTGTGCTAAAACATTTATAAATCTGATGACTCATATCTCCAAAGAACAGACAGTTCAGTACATACTAACTATGGTTGATGATATGTTGCAGGTAGGTACATTTTTTACTTAATACATTTGGTGACTTCATCTTTTTGTGTACTGCCTAAGTAACAACATTTTTGTAAGGTTTCACTTCCAGCAATGGTTCTCTTCTAGAGTGCATTAATATATTTTTCTTCATTATACAAGTTGTAATTCGCTAATAGTGATAAAGATGGGAATGCCTACGTACTGGCTGGTTTTGTTGTTTTTCAGTATAGGAAGTAATCCATAGGTATTTTTTTTTTTTCCTACAACACCTCAGAGTTCTTTGTGAACACCATCGGTGTTTGGGGAATCACTTGAGGCTTGCCAGATGCTCTGCGTACTTACAGGTGACATGGCTCCTTCAATTCAACAGTCATTCAGCAGATTTCTTTGTCCCTATGGTCCCTGCCAGTGTGAGGCATTGGGTCTTCAGTGCTGTATGTAGGCAAGGTGCTTGCCATCAAAAACATCGTCTCTTTGGAGAATATTTTGCTAATTGTCTGAGACTTTTCTAGTTTTATAAAGTTTCTACTTAATGCCTAGTGTCCCTGAACACAGAGGGGCCTCCTTCATTCACAATTTTTTATTTTTCACCAGAGTATGTATAATCTAGGTTTAGATTGTTGTTATATAGAGTAGCTCTTTTTGAAACAAGCTGTGTGGCTGCTAAATCCAATGTCTGTCTGCATGTCTTAGGAGACTTGAAGAGTGTCAGTCTGGCTGCTTCAGGGACATTCTCTCAGTTTACAAGGAAAATATTTATTGATGATCTACTATGTGCCAAGCACTGTATTGTGATTAATGATACAAAGGCTAGGAAGGCTGGTGCTGTCTACTTAGGGGCCATGATGTCATTTACAGGAATGTAGTGATTTTATAATGTGAGTAAGGATTATTATCCAGTGGGTGATGCAGGCCTGTCTGAAAATGACCATGGTCCTCTCAGCACCTTTTCCTTTAAGAAGGTAAAATTAAGAAAAATGGGGAATGTTGCCGTTTGTCTTGGCTATCTTGTTTATTATATAGGACTACACGTAGAACGAGGAGCTGTGAGTTGGTGTGCAGACGTTGGTTTTATGTCATACATATACCACATACACAAAATTCACACACAAATACCCTCAATTTTTATACATACACACATATCTATAAATTAAAAACCATGAGTTCACGCTCTTCTCAATTTCATTTTAGCTCAATACTACAGACTTTATTCTAGCCTCTTTCCATACTTGTAATTTCTTCTGGCACAGTGAGATTTTGAGACCCTCTTATTCTCCATCTATTAACTCATTTATTCTACCCTAAAATACAAAGAAAGTAGTTTTTTGACTTATGTAACTGTGAAGCCTTTTACCTAGAGTTCTATGCTTGTTTGCAGTATCTTTAGACTGAGAATATGTAGTCAGCAAATTCAAGGTATTTATTTATTTACTTATTCATTCATTCCTCATTAGAGAATAAGTTTTTATTGATTTTAGCATGAGAGGGAGGGTGGGAAAAACATTGATGTGAGCGAGACACTGATCAGTTGCCTCCTGTACATATCCCTATCGGGCATGTGCCCTGGTCAGACCCGCAAACCTTCTGATTTACAGGACAGTGCTCCAACCAGCTGAGCACCTGGCTAAGGCTTGCATTTAAGTTTTGTTCAGAGTGGTTATATTATTTTTTTTGAAATAAAATTGGATTCATTTGTTTGTATTCTACTTTAGTTTTTTCCTCATCTTTATTTTATTATTTTTGATTATGTAAAAAATATGCTCCCAGAAGTCAAAACTGTATACAGAAAAGTATACTTAGAAATGTCACCAACCCCTACCCTATTCCTTGTACCCCATTCCCACCTATCTCTTGTAGATAACCAATATCCTAGATCTCTGGGTTTCTTTTCTGGTTTTTCTTTTTTTGCAAATATAGGTAGGTATGTGTGTATTTTCTTATATCCCGCTCTTTTTATTATACAAATGTACATACTGTGAGAAGGGCTTTATCCATATACTCTTAAAGGTTTGTAACTGGGATGCATACCTGGGACAAGATGACAGGCAGTACATTTTTAAGCAGGAATTGGGACACAAAGGACTAGTCAAGGAAGGTGGGTTTTAAACTTACTTAAAATGTATAAAATAGTTTCTGCTCTGTCTGTATGTAGAGTGCTTTGTTCATTTAAATGCAGAATTGAAATTTTAACTTTGGAAGTAATCTACTAATGGAGTTAATGATGACCTATGTGAATTTTAAGTCTTTTGATAAAGTCATCATCACAACCATTTCCATTGTTACTCTAAACTATAGTGTCTGTTACTTAAGGATATAAGTCTGTTCCCTAAATGGGGTAGTTGTTAGCACAGACCAAAATTAAAACCAGTGTATTTAAAAAGAATTAAGTGGTGATCTGAAAATTAAAATATTATTTATATTGTTATTTGGGCTTTTATCAAATACTGCTATTCAGAAACTACATTCACTTAGTGAACCAGAAAGTAGATCTCAGCCAATAATATGCAAAGAAAATTTAGGTGAGAGGTAGAGTTTGCATTATTTGAGTTAAGAAGTAATTGTTCTCCGTTCCTAAATCCACCCGGTAGTGTGAGACACTGTTTTTGGCTCTTTTTCTGCCCTGATTTTTGTCATAATATGCTAAGAGTAACTTGGAACATACGAGATTTCTCTTAATTCCCTATTTCCCTTGCCTCCTTGTACACAGCTTGAGATTCTTCCTGCTGATCCTTCCATCTAGAGCTAATTTGTGATCTTTCTTCCTTCTTCTATTTTGTTTGTGTGGAAGCAGGGTAAAGGTGTTGAGACAAATGGGGAAGGGCAGGTCAGAGGTGCAGGCTGAAAAGAAATTAAACTGCTACACCTTGCAGGGCTGGGATGTGTTATCTTGGCTCACTTGAATTAAACTAGTCACAATAATTGAAGGTGATTTTATTCTTAAAATATCCCCACCTCCTATCCCATCCCCTGCCCCATAATAACAACAGGGAGGCAAATGTCATACACACTGGAAAAAGAAAACACATGGGTTGATGGAGCATAAGATGAAGGGTTGAGAAACAGTGCACAGTTGTTACATTCTTTTTTTCTTTTTAAGATTTTATTTATTTATTTTTAGAGAGGGGAGGGGAGGGAGACAGAGGGAGAGAAACATTGATGTGTGGGTTGCATCTTGCGTGCCCCTGTTGGGGACCTGGCCTGCAACCTGGATATGTGCCCTACACTGGGAATGTAACTGGTGACCCTTAGGTTCACAGGCCGGTGCTCAATCCACTGAGCCACACCATCTAGGGGTGATTCTTTAGTAAAACACATTTTGATTAGTGATATCATTCCTTTTCTTTTTTAGGAAAATCATCAACGTGTTAGCATTTTCTTTGACTATGCTAAACGGAGCAAGAACACTGCCTGGTCCTATTTTCTGCCAATGTTAAATCGCCAGGATCTCTTTACTGTTCACATGGTAAATTTTGAATTGATCAAATCGAATCTTTGATTACAGACGAAACACTCGTGGGCCGTTTATGACTTGGTAACTTCCTAGTTCCCAGTGTAGTACTGCTGTGATGTTAGTTTTTTCAAAGCAGTGTTTTCTTATAGATGTTTAATAATGAGAGGATATGGAGAAGACAAAAGAGATGGGGTTACCCTGATACAGTTAAAGTTTTGTAGAGTGTAATGATGAGTCATTAGCACAGAAGCCTTGTAATTCACATGTGCAAATAGCTTTGGATATCTGTGACAGGATTTGCAGAGTTTTACTTCAGAAATTAAATTTTGCTTTGAAGCAGCTACTATGTTTAATTTGTATTTTAATTAAGAATTGCTTATTAATTGCTTTTTAATATCATAAAAACACTCCTTTTTCAAACTTAGCCTGGAAGGGTATCTTTGGAAGCCTTAATAGTGAAGAATATTTAAAAAAAAAAAATCCTCACCTGAGGACATGTTACTGATTTTAGAGAGGGAGGAAGGTGTCGGCGGGGGGGGGGGCGCGGGGAGAGAGAGAGAGAAACGTCCACTGGTTGCCTCCTGTACATGCCCTGACCTGGGATCAAACTCGCAGCCTAAGTATGGGCCCTGACTGGGATTGAACCCACAACTTTTTGGTGTATGGGATGATGTGTCAACTAACTGAGCCACCTGGCCAGGGCTGAAGAATTCTTCAAGAAGCATGTGGAGAAGGTATGAGAGAGGAGTGAGAGAATAAATCTTTGACCAGGCTTTTTCTGTTCCCAACAGGAAGTGAGCTATGGGGTGGGGAGAGCTCCTGAGGTTGTGTATTTCAGTATACGCCTCTAGGTTTTTCAAATAAAAAACCACTGTCAGTGAAACAATTTTGAGTATGCATGTTCTCTCTCTTTCTCTCTCTGGCTCTGTCTCTCCTACCCCCCCCATGTATATCCATATTCATTTATGTACTAGTGTATTCATGTATTGTATATATTGTAAAGTATTTATAAAAAGATATTGAAAAGGACTCATAAAATAAACTATATTTTAAATAATATTAAAAAAACAATAATATATTTTCTTTCAAATTGTGAAGACTGGTTTTCACTCTCTGGATACCTAGTTTCAATGTCTTCTTAATTTTGATGGCTTTATAATAAAATTGACAAATATGTTAAAGACCAGATGTAATTTTAGGGTAGAATTCATCATTATTAATTGTGTAGTCAAATCCATGTTTTAATTTCTTTATGCTTTCAATTTTAGCTTATCTTTTAAATTTTGAGGGTCACATTGTCATTGGTTTACCATGCTGATGAAGGAGCTTTATGTTAGGAGTAGAAACCTCAGATCCCTCGTTCTTTTTTGTCTTTATCATTTTAATTGTGCTTACATGACTGATAATATCTTTAATCCCTGGTTTCCTTACAGGAATCTTTTTAAGTCACTTATCTATTTTGTAGAAGTTAGATGACTTTAAAGTAAATAATGTATCTGTAGATTTACTTAGCTAGGCACATGAAAATGTGTATATGTCAATTTAGTGAATTAGTTGAGGTGCTCCTATTAGCCCTGCATGGTGTAGAATTCCAGGTTTGCCATCACACTTGAATGCTTGACATACTGGCCTTGAAAATGTGCCTCCATCACCTGGCTCAGCTGTGTCCAAGTATAAGAACAAATATCAGTCCACCAGCACAGGATTATTTGGGGGTTAGATGACAGCTTTCCATTTTCTACTAGGATTAGTTATTGCTGAATTATTGGAGTTTTGAAACACTGACTTGGTATCAGAAAGTACTGAAAGACTATAAAATTGGGTTTGTGTGTGGAGAAATAGTATTTTGTACTACCTCTTTTGTGTGTATACATATATATATATTTTCAGATTTATTGTATAATTATTGTTCAGGTATATTTGACAAAATTGTAAGATATTTAAAGTGTACAACATGATTTGGTATACATATACTTATAATACCTTTTTAATAAAAAAATTCTTGATTAGTTTTATACCTTGAAGAAAAATGAGAAATATTTGAATGAGAGAAAAGGGTTTATTTTTATACATCAAGAGAGATGGCTGTTTAACACCGGGATATATCTTGTATCAAAATATAAAATTTTAGGTATGAAAACTCAAAAGTGGCTTGGAATGAGCAGGGTACTGGCTGACAGTGTGTTAAAGAGATTGCTCAGGATTCTGGCGAGTGATTTGCTGGAAGTTTGCTGCTGAGAAAGATTTTTGTGTTCTTTTGATTTTTGCTGGTCTTATAATGAATCCCAATCTTACTTTCAAAACTCAAAATAAGACAGAGAATATCATGACATTCTTAATTTAACAACTAATTTTGGTTCAGTTCATTGGAAAATTGGAAATATTTGAAAATATTTTTGACTATATTAAATTATATTTTTAAAAATGAAATATAAACTATTCTTGGAGGAGCTGAGTGTTAAAAAATGCAGCATAAATGATTGAGTCCTGGGTCTTAAGGCATATGATATGGCATTTAGAATCAATATAGTATTCAAATATGTTTTTCACTTTTTAGGCAGCAAGAATTATCGCCAAGTTAGCAGCTTGGGGAAAAGAATTGATGGAAGGCAGTGACTTAAATTACTATTTCAATTGGATAAAAACTCAGCTGAGTTCACAGGTAAAAGACATTTCTTTTAGTATCTTTGAAAGGAATATAACATTCATATTCTGTTAAGATATTAATTATGGGAAATTATAAAAAATGTCATATAATAACGGCATTTTGAACTTGCTAAGAGTAGTTCAGCTTGCTTAGTTATGGTAGTATGCTTTACTTTTTCTTTCTTTGACTGGCTTCAGCTCAACCCTTTCTGTTCTCTCTGCCACTTGGGATTCTCTATTTATGCTTTTCAGTGGACAGGGAGTCCTTTTTTTCCAGGTGGCTGCTAAGATCACACAGGCCGGAGAATTGAAAGGATTCACCCAACCCTGAAGAGCACACTCATGTAAGGCTTATAGAAAGGAAGAGAAACTGTGTAGCAGGGGAGAGAGTGGAGGCAACTTTGAGGCTGAGAGATTTCCAGGTGCAGCTCCCACATCTGTCTTGACTTTCTGGACTGCCAATATTTGTGCAAGAAATCTTGGTTTGGGTAGAGCTCTCCAGAAGTTTCTAGTGGCATCTTTCTTACATGCCCTTTTGGTCACTTAACCAGGCTAAGATAATTAGTTACACCAATAAACAAACTGGCTCTGGGTGCCACTGGGAGAGTTTCAAACTAAATAGCACATTATTGATCATTAATCAATCCACTTATATTAGTCTGAACCAAGAGTCCATACCAGGTTTCCAGGTGCTCCTGGGTAAGTGTGGAGCTGCCTGGACCAAGTGTGAGATAATAGTCTCACATAGTTACTCCTCAGTATTTCACTGTATGATTGTGGGATTGAACATTTAGGCCCAAGGTTAAATGCAAAGCCTGCTGATGGGTCTTCTTGTTGCTTTCAGACCTCTCCAGCTTGACCATGGAGGAAATAGCTTGCTGGTTTAATAGCTTGCTAGTTTAATGACATCTTCTCTGTTTTTTGTCTTCATGGTTCCTTAATACAGGGAAAAAGGCTACTTAGGATGGCTCAGTGGTGTTTCTTTTAGGTTTCCAGTATTGGGAGGTGAGGGGAAATGTGGTGGGAATGTTCATCAGAAAAGGAGTGAAAAGAAGGTGGGTAGGGGAGGAGTATTCTGGGGAAGAAAAGGTAGAAGAGAATGAGATTTTGTGTTGGGATGGGTAGCATGGAGAAATGGGACCAGAAGAAGTAATAATTGTTGCTATCATGTTTGTTTAAATGTTAGATTACAAATAAATGTCTATTTGAAATACATTTTTAGAAAATTGTTATTTAGATTTTAGGGACTATTATTTTAATAGAGTTTCATTTGAAGCATAGAAGAGATACCATGATATTTTGCTTAGATTTTTTGACTTACTGCCTGCCTTTTTGAGGGTAGCCTAATTGCTTTTATATTTAGTTAGGGATATTTTAGAGTGTCTTAAACAAACTAAGTATTTTTTATGTCAGCATAAATTTTAACCCCCCTTTTTGGCTTAGTTTTTAAAAGTATTTTTATAGGAGTCACAAATTTACAGATTTTAGTGAGTTTGTGAGATATTTCAAAATAAGATATTTAGAATTTTATTTTACAGTTTCTTAATGTGTATGATTTGGGATCAGAATGTTTAAATAGATGCTCTCCCCCTCTTTCTTTCTCTTTTGAATTTAGTTCTTCCTTTGAGCAAACTTCTTTCTGTTTTAATGTTAGCATTATGGTATAGTGGTAATGGGTCTCTATTGTACCTGAATTCATAAAATGAAAATTATCAGGAAAGAATGTACACATGTAGATTGCTACTAACATTTGGGGTTTTTTCATCTTAAACTTTTCCTCATAGGAATAACATTTATATTGTGTCTCAGGTGATTTGTCACTTTTGGAATGATTAACTATGGTTGTAACCATGTTGAGCAATTGGAGGAAATATTTCTATCATTACTAGTGGAAGCAAATATTACAATGTATAGAAGAGTTTTCATTAGAATTCGTATTAGATCAGTGCTCTTAGAGACCTTCTGTGTATCTTTCTAGCATATTCTTTTTATCACCGAGTCTTTATCTTTGTTTATTTGTGGCATGGCATTTCTGCTTTGCAAGTCCTTCTGCTTATAGAATGACTCCTAGGGTTCCCAGGCCCAATCTGGCTTTGCTTCTCAGAATCTGGTCACTGCCTCTGCTGGCTCTGGATTGCACTGTCTCTCTTGTTGTGGGCAGACACTTCTTCTGTAAAGTTTTATCAGGATTAAACTACAGACATCTTGTTTAAAGAATGAAACAGGATTATTTGGAATTTTATTTGCTACTTTGCTTAAATGTCATTTGATAGCACTATATCTGGAGGATCTCTTTTTCTCTGTTGTATTTTCTTCCTCATAAAAGGGATCACAATTTCATGATTCTCATAAAAATAAACTTTCGAAAGTCCAGATTAGTTGCAAGTTTGGATATTTTGTTGTTTGATTTATAGCATTACAATATTTAGGAGTATCATACTTGGTCATGGTGCTCATGCCTGACAGTTATTGAATAAAACAAAATAAAAATTTCCTTTCAGAAATTCATTATCACTTTTCTCTTGCATATTCAGCCTTTGACTTTCTACCTTAAAGTTTCTTTGATCATTTCTATAGAACATGTGAAATTTTGATTTTTAGTATAACTTGTTAGCATTGCTGTGGATAACCAAATTTTAAGTTCTGTGTTGTATCTCTTGATCATCAGGTACCTATTTCAAAGACTTGGCATAGAATATAGTACAGATAGTTCAGCTTAAGACAGTTGTGTTATTGGAGAAACAATTTAGTAAGAAAATCCTGAGACTTGGAAATTTGTACCAGCCTCACTCATGAATTTTAGCTGAAGCTTATTATTCAGCTTATTATTGTTCCATTTTTAATACTATATTAAAATACTACATGGATGAGTGTAATGATACTTAGAATATTTCGTTATCATCCCCATTCTTTTTACTAGCTGATGATACTACATTAAGTAGGATTAGGAAAAAAATTATAAAATTTGGTCAGGCCCCTTTCATACACTGATAAATTAGGATAAAATTAAAAACAAAACTAAGTAATAAGTTATTTATTTTGTAATAGAAACTGCGTGGTAGCGGTGTTGCTGTTGAAACAGGAACAGTCTCTTCAAGTGATGTAAGTACATTCCTTCTTAATTCAATAGCCTCATAACACTTTGAATATAAGTTATTTTGAGTCATACAGTTCACATTTTTGAAGATGTTTACTAGTCACCCAACTGTAAATTTATGGATTTGATACCACCTCCAGTTAGGTTAATGGTATTGTAAATTCTATATATAAACATTTATGGTCTTTAGTGGTCGCTGTTCTGTGGGTACACATGAAACTTGCGCATCCCTGTTGCTCTTGTCCGACCTGAGAATCAAAGCAAGAGTGTGAATTCTGATAGACAGTTGGAGCGAATAAAGTTACTCTCTTCAAGCATCAGTTGTCTAATAGTAGGTTAAGTAATATCTGTCTAATAGATGCATGAATACTGTGTCAAGCAGGTGAAAACAGTTCTATGACCCACTAAAACTCGTTACTTGCACTGTGCTGCTCAAGGCTTTATATGGGGCTAGGTGGTGGCCAGAAACACCACTCCCCCCCTTTTTTTGGCCAATCTCTCACACATTTTTGTAGAGCCAAAAATGTAAAGGTTAAAATTAATCATGCCTCCCCAGATTCCTTTTTTTTGTTGTTAAGAGTTATTTTCCCTTTTTTGGAAATGGTTTAACTTTATTAAGAATAGCTCAAAAACTGGCAATAAGTTTGTATAATAGGGCTGGGATGATTGGAACCAGTTGAAAGGAAGATAAGGGAACAAAATTTAGAAATGTAGGTAAGGTTTATCTAGCTTCATTTGTTGGAAATTATCTTTGGGAAACTGGAAAGCATCTTTAGAGGATGGTGTCTACAACCTGGCTGTTATAGACCTAAATGAAGCTTTGTATAAGCCATTTAATGTCCATACGAATTACTGATACTTCCATATTTTGCATGGGCCATACCTGTATATATTCTCTGAGACTATAGATGGCAGCGGAACCCACTTTCAAAGCCAAGAATGGGGCTTCTCTTGGGGCATGGGATAAAGGATTTGACTAGTAGTGTGTTAAGGCCAGAAAATGGTGGTTCGCCTTCTGAAATGGAATCAGAACAAGGTGTAGAACTGGATGAGTAGTCTGGGGCTAGGGTTAGGGAAGGAGGTGGTGAGTTAGAAGTCTAGATATTTAGCTATAAGTAATGTTTAAATTTGGAGTCTTTATTTTATATGACTTGAATTTCTATCAGTTTGAAATTTTGAAAAAAATGTTTAATTCATGTATTAGACTTATTGGTAGATTTTCAAAAAGGTGCTTTTAGAATCATGTCTTATAAATGAATTTGAGTGGTTGTTAAAGTATTTGTAAATTATTAAGGCTTAGATAATGAATTGCAAGTTCTGGTGAAATGAAATTCTGATTTTGCTATTTTCTATCCAGTTATTTGGAAAACAAAACTGACTAGTTGAATTGACTGTGCATTAAATCAGAGTGATTTATAGTAGATCCATACATATATATCCCAAATGGAATTAGCATCAGGGGTAATTGTGAGGAAGGAAAAGATGGCCTTTGATTTCCCACTTTCTTACCTTTAGTGCTTTTCAAACCTGAAGATACTCTGTCTCTTACTGAAGGTTCTTACTGTTTCAAATGGCTATCAATTTCAGTAGGTTCAGAATAGAGTGTTAGCCTTCCTTTGATACTTGTATTTAATAGGGAAATCTGAATTGGTAGCCAACACTTACTGAGCTCTTACTGTTCCTGGTATTGTTTTACTTACTGTACATTTACATCTCCTTGAATACTCATACTTCCTCTTTGATATAGGTCTTACTCCAAGCCATGTTTTATGGATATGAACAGAGAGACTGTGCAGAAAGGCATACTAGCTTGCCCAAGGTCATTCAGCTAATGAGTGGGAAAACCCCCAAATAAATGAATTGTTAACTGAGAGAACAACTTTTGAGGCAGCTGAATTGGAAGTTGGATTTTAGGCATTCCCAAGTCTTAGCCTACTCACATTTGTGAAAATATTGATATTATATGTTAAAATCCCTTTTGGTTTTCAGAGAGCATAGGAAAGCACTTTGGTAAACCGCATTACATGATATTGCCACTTGATGTCAGTATAAAACATAAAAAAAGGTGTACACTGCAAAATGAGAAAGAAATATGGTCTAACAGTGTTGACTTAAAATTGCAGTGGAAACATCATAAGTTATCAGTGGATTATTACAAATTTTTTTAAATGACATACATAAATGGAATTTCCTTAAAATGAATTATGTTGGCTTTGCCTAAATATGAAGTAAATAAATGACAACAAATCATATGGTTGCCTCCTGTAAGCCCCCAGACCAGGATCATGTGTGCTTGGACCAGGGGTAGAACCCACAACCCTTTGGTTACAGAACAGTGCTCCAGCCAACTGAGCCACACTAGCCAGGGCTGTCTGTTCAGTTCTTTTCTGGCTGTTTAATGTGAATGCTCAGTCTTACATTCTTCAGAGGAAGGTGCACAGTTTTGCTGATTGTTGTTCTGATACCCTGACAGAAAGAGGGATACTGTGGTCTCTCTCAAATTTGGAGAATTTAGAAAGAATCTGGGAGTTTTATACTTGTTGGTTTTCTTTAACCTCTGCCCAGATTCATTTGTAGGAGATTCATGTGTGTAGGAGAACAAGGTGTATTCCTAGCTCCTGCACTTGACTGTGTCATATTCTCTGGCTATTTTTGTTGTAGACCTAGTCTAGCTTCAGTTATTACTAGGTGAACATTGTTTTACTGATAATAAATTAACTGAAACTGCCAGGTTCTCCTTTTGCTTATTTTATATTTTATCATGCCTTTTAATGTTCTGGAACAATTCTGTCCAATAGAACTTCTCATAATGATGAAAATTATGGTAACCACTAGCATTGTCCATTATGGTAACCACTAGCCACATGTGACTGTTGAGCACTCAGAAATGTGGCAACTATGAGTGAGGAAGTAAATTTTCAATTTAATATATTTTTTAATAATTTTATTGAAATATACATGCCATAAAATTTATCTATTTGCAGTTCAGTGGGTTTTAGTATATTTACAGTATTGTGCAACCATACCACAGTCTGATTTTGTAGCATTTTTGACACCTCAGAAAGAAACTCCGTACACATTAACGGTCACTGCCCATTATTGCTTTCTGCTTCCAGACCCTGGCAACCACTGATCTACTTGACTCTCTGGTTTTGCCTCTTCTGGCCATTTCATATGAATGAACCTTATAATATGTGGTTCTGTGTCTGTGTCTGGCATCTTTTACTTAGCCTAATGTTTTCAAGATTCATTCATATTTTAGCACAGTAACAGCAGCATTTTAGATTGAGAGAAAAAAAAAAACTTTTGTGGCTTTTGGCCAAATTCCTTAAATTGTTTTTTGTGACAATTCTAATTTCCTTGTTAATATGAGATTAGTTTTATTGCTTTAGCTTTGTTCTTTAATCCTATGCTGATGTGACACTTTTCAGTCTTCCAGAAGTTGTGGAGTACTTCAATGATTTAGTTTTTTGCTACTTTGATGACAACTAAATCAGTAGGCTAGTTCATAAAGTTCAGGCCTGTCATTTAACTGTCCTCTGCGCTAGCTGGTGAGTCTGAGCACTCAAAGTAATTCACAATCACATGTCTTTGTACAAGTTTCCAGAGCATTGTTATTTACCTACAGCAATTCTTGGTTGATTTTTATTGTTCAATTGCCTTATCTTCTCATCAAAAAATGAATACATTTTAATATACAAAATAATAATGTATAAAGTGAATCATATTAAGTCCACAATAATTTTTTCTCATAATAAAACATCCTAGTAGTCATTACATGACTAAGCAAATTAGAATGAAAGCAATACTTGGAGATTTATAAACTTGAAAATTAATAATGAGGTTACCTTTTTAGTAAGTCTTAAGTCTAAGATGAAAGTATCATAAGTGAATTTAGATGTTAATTTAGTCTAGATATTATGAGTATTGACTAGAGGATCTTTTTAAATAAGCCAACCTCAAGTGAATTCTTGGGCTTACAAATGTGTTTTAGTTCCTGAATATGAGGTAATAATAGTAATAGTATACTTTGCAATTGTTTTGTGTTATATAGAAACTGATTTGAGTAGCAGGGTTTTTTTGTTTTGTTTTTTGTTTTTTTGTTTTTGCTAGGGTTAGTATTACTTTTCTTTGGGGACGAGAAAACAGTTTTGGAGGGTTTAAGTGACTTGCCAATGATAATTTGGCAAATCTTCTGATTGGCAGATATCTTCCTCCTTCCTTCTCTTCCTTTCTTCAGCCTTTCTTTCTTTTTTTATGTCATAATTTACATAAAGTAAAATGTTAATAATTTTAATATTCAGCTGAATGAATTTATGTCATGTATACTCCTACTAAATATTTTCTTTCACCTCAACTCCCACAAAGGTTATTGTTATGATATCTAATACTACAGATTAGTTTTTCATGATTTTGAATTTCATGTAAGTAGAATCATGTGCAGAATGAAGTTTTATGTGTTTGAATTCTCTTGCCCAGTATTGTGTCATTGAGATTTATTCATGTTGCATTTAGCAGTAGTCTTTTAATTGTTATGTAGTATCTGTTAAATGAATAACCATTATTTTTATTGCTATATAGTAATCTGTTAAATATCCATTCACTATTGATGGATATTTGGGTTACTTGTAACTTTTAGCTATTGTGAATAATTTTTCTGTAAACATTCTTCTGTATGTCTTTTGGTAGATGGTCAAGAACACTTAATTCTAGAATGGAATTGATTGGTTGTTTGTAAATTTAGATATTGCCAGCCAGTTTACAAAACCAATTTACTTACCCATAAACAAAGTATGAGAATTCCAGTTGTTCAGTTCCCTACTGACAAGTGAGATTGTCCTGTTATATTTTTAAGGTGAATGGAAGAGACACTCACTTTTTTATTCTGCAAGAAAAGGATTCCTTTAGAGGTCATGAAACATTAAATATTTTTATTACTGTTAATTTCCAGTCCTCCATTTCATGTAAAATTGGCTTCTGGAATTTATTTTAGCTAAGTAAGTGT